CCTCCAGAACATCCCTGTGCTTTTCTGAGTTGTAGCACTTAAAAGAAACAGGAACTAAGTTTCAATAACAACATAAATCATTGAAAACATCTTCAGTCATCAGAGATTTGTTTCCCTTTTTTAACTTCAATGAATGTTATCTTTAGTCTGGAAATTCTGGAATGTAGGAAAAGAATTAAGCTGTTTCCTTAGAGCTCACATACACAGCAGCTGGCCACACAGCTGGTATTTTAAAGCTTTGAATAAATAGCCATCACATAGGCATGAGTGGACTGCACAGTTAATTTTGCATTATTTGGAATCATTCAAGCCTGCAAATAACATCCTGGTGTCAACCTATGGGATACTGGTCATAGATACACTTAGGGTAATAAAAAACAAGTGCTTTGAGTTACCTCATATTTCATTTATTTAAAAAGGAGTGTGAGGGCTAGTGGAACTGGCCGGTCTGTWAGGTTCCTTCCAACCCAAAGCASYCTGTGATTTTATGMGTCTGTGATATACTTCTTGTATCCTATTTCCTGCCTACATTGTGCTGTTGATTAAAGGTACTGAGTCATATATTGCTTATGAACAGTCCTGCTCCAGGAACCACTTGAGGGGCAGTAGATCCAAGTGCTTGCTAAGGCAAATATAGCTCAAGCTGTAATTTGGCATTTCTAATGAAGACTTGCTCTCTGTTACAAACTGTGCACTCCCAAGCAGGCAACAGATGGGGAAAGGGAATGCTCCTGCAGAATTACTCCTKAGCAGAACAGAGAAGAGACATGCAACAGAAATACCCTAGACCAGTTTACTCCAAGCCCCATCCAAGCTGGACTTGAACACTTCCAGGGATGGGGCAGCTACAGCTCCTCTGRGCAGCTTCTCTCCTTCCTCACAGAGAATAAGTTAAGCAGTTCTTCCCAATATCCCATCTATCCCTGCCTTCTAGCAGTGGGAAGCCATTCCAGCTTGTCCTGTCACTCCAGGCCCTTTGTCCAAAGAAACTCTCCAGGTCTCCTGGAGCCCCTTTAGGCACTGGAAGTGGCTCTAGGGTCTTGCCAGAGCCTTCTCTTCTCTGAGATGAACAACCCCACTGTGTCAGCCTGTCTCCATAGCAGAGCCCTCTGGTCATCATTGTGATCCTCTCTGGACTATAAATGCTAAGTGGCTGGCCACCCAGGCAATAAGCTATTTAGACAGATAAATTATTGCATCCCCTGTCTTTGTCCTCTGAAGTCACCACTGMACATAACTAGGCAGCCCAGATGGAAGTACTGGAGAATGTCAGGGGTAGAGGAATAATACAGTCAATAGAGGGGAAAGGGATACAAATAGAGACAGAGAAGTGAGCATTGCTGTTTACAAGAAGCAGGAACTGTTGAAGTCTCTAAGGACTGGAAAGGAATGCATAAAGAATAAGATGACACCTGTTTATAAGCTGCCACCCTGCACTGACAGCCTTATTACACTGTAATAAGATCTTACAGTAGCAACATGATCAAAATAGCACCCAATGTTCTTAGAAAATCTCTCATTCTATTGAACTAAATAAATACAAAGCTCTGCAGTTCCTGCAAGTTTACCAACAGTTCCTGTGGCTGAGCCTAAACATATACATTTTAAAATCATAGGATTTGTTTATAAATRTGTTTATTAACTTCTGCTTCATCCAGCCAGTTATGAATACATACAAGGCATTGTGTGCTCTCTGGCTGCTTCTGTTCTCTGATATTGTGAAGAAATGAGACAACTCACCCTTGCCTAGTCCAGAGATGGCATCCGTGATCACCACTACCTTGTTCTGCACYGCTGACTTGGACAACAGCCATCTGACTGACTGGTAAATGTAAATAATYCCACTGATCCCTAAGAGAAACAATGGTAGAGCAAGTACAGCAAGAATACCCATGTCTGTGGGAAACAAAAGACCATATGAGAATACAGTAATGACAATATACACTAGTTATTTTTCCATTATTCTTATCTAAAAACCCCATGTTTTCATATACCGAAAACAGCAGCAAATCAAAGTATTAGGAAGGTTGTTTTCCAATCAATTGTGTGCTATTGTTTTTTCATAAACAGGGTAATATTGTTCCTGTGTCTGTTTTCCTCACCTTTGTACAGTTTAGGCAAATATGGATTACTTTTATACAAAATTAATGTTGGCAAGACCATAATAGAACATACATMCATATATAAATATATATACATATATATGKATGTATATTCTATTATGCCATGAGGCAAAACAAAAACATAGGCTAAAATAAACACTGAACTTTTAATTACATTGCTATTATTTGAAAACAGAGAAAAAGCTTTTAATCCAAATTTCAGACAAACTGCACAATAGAAGTCTTTTCTGTTCTAAAAGATAGAGAAAATACAATCACTTACTATGGCTATGAAGACTCCAGATACAGMTAGAGCATTCTATTGTATTTTTGTAAACCTTTGGATTAGAGGTTTAATTAAGATCCTTTAGCAATTTCATAGCACACTGATTTGTTGAAGCTGCTTGTCCTGAATGAGAAGGGCTATGTATGGCCTTGTGACAGAGAGTAAATATAGCATGCACAGTGTGATCTGCATGCCTGACCTATCTAGCCAACAGCCTGGGCACTCATATAAAAGCTCTYAGTACAGTATCAATTCAACTGTACAAGAAATGCCACTCCTTCTGCCTTGCATTCAGTTGAATTTGCTCATAATATCTCAATTTTTTGTGACTTGTCTTCAAGTAACTTTGTACATCAAAACATTTGTGTTAAGTCCATAACAATAGGTCTTCAAAACCAAGCAAAAGGTACCATAAGAAGTTGCCACTTGAAATTATCACAGTTCAGCAATATGAATGATGTAYGAATGTGTCAGGAAAAGGTCTCTGAGCAAACTGGCTGGGCAGTCAATGCATCACACAGAGCTGCTGCAGGCAGCTGAGTGCTGGAAAACAGACCAGGTTGGCATCCTGCGCTCCCATGGGCTGCTGGCTGCTTTCCACTCCTGGTGTCTGCAAGACAGATTTGTCTCTTTTCCCAATTTCAATTTCAGGACCATACCAACTTAAGATAGGTGATCTACATTTTACATTTTTACATTTAGATCTGGTTTACATTTTCTGCAGAGACATTATCTGTTCATAGAATCACAGAATCATGAGTGGTTTGGGTTGTAGGGAGCCTTAACCCTCATCTTGTTCCACTCCTGTGCCATGGGCAGGGACACCTTCCMCTTGACCAKGTTGGTYCAAGCCCCATTCAATCCCACCCAAGTTTGAGGCTCCAAGCCTTGARYRCTTTGAGGGATGGAGCAGCCACARCCTCTCTGGGCAACYTGTGACAGTGCCTCACAAACYCATGTCCCTAACATCTAACTTAAATCTATCCTCTCTTGGTTTAATCCTATACCTCTTTGTCCTGTCACTATTAACCCATATAAAAATCTTCTCTTCCTGTTTTTTAATAAACCCCCCCTTCAAGTACTGGAAGGCCACAATGAGGTCTCTCCAGAGCCTTCTCTTCTCCAGACTGAACACCCCCATCTGTCRCAGCCTTTCTTCAGAGCAGAGGGGCTYCAGCCCTCRGAACATCTGCATGGCCTCCTCTGGGGACTCACTCCTCACACCTGGATGCAGTATTTTAGGTGTGGTCTCACAAGGGCAGAGATGCTGTGATTGTTAACCTGAAAATCACACTTAYTGGTTGACCTTGGAGTTCCAGGAAGAAGAATGGTTTACCAAAAACCTTGTTTTGCTTTTAAAAAGAAATGCTTAGTAAGTTCTGACAAGCAGACTGATACTTCTGTTTATGCTGTGTAACTGGTCATCTAAATTCTAATTTTTATCTTCAATGTGAGAATCCAATTGTACAAATGATAGAGTCACTGATGTTGGAAATTTCTAACAAAGAACAAGGACTTCATGGTTAGTTCTGCAGGTACCTGGACAGTGGTCACTTTCCATGGGTGGGAATGGATAGATTATTTAAGTGTGTGTAAGAAGGGACTTTCAGACACAGTTTGAAAACCTAACTTGCTCTAGAAGCTAATGACTTCAAGAATCTAGATGTATACTCTTGCCTCTGAAAGTTGCAGTTGCCCACCAAAGAACCCATGGCTTATGATTTCCAAACCACAGAATTCTATAWTGTGTCAACATTTGAAACTCTGCATGCATTTTTAGCTAAAAGAAAGACATTAATAACAGATACTAGTAAATACCTGCTTTTCAATGAAAAATGGTTATAGTGTCCTGTAATGTACATCAGTTTCTGCAAGTGAATGTAAAAACATTGTCATGCCAAGCTATCTGCAACAACAGAGAGGAAATTCAATTCTCCATCATTCCTACAGCCCCAGCTATCTTTTCTTACTTTTAAAGCATCAGTTTTTAATAAACAAATGTGCAGCTCCCTATCAGCAACTGACTCAGTTTGTTCTTTTTATGGAACACGATGTGTTGTTTGTTTAATTCATTCAGGATTCTGGAAACATTTTTCTTGGAAGGCTGAAACATAAAAGAAAGCACACACTAGAGATACAGTACTTATATGATATGAATTCTAAGTTATTTGTTTCCAAATCAATTAGAATAAAGGTAGAAGTAATGTAAAATAGCAAGACAAGAAAACAGTAAATTGAAAGAACTAGATAGCCCACAGTGTGTAAGACTATGAGGATAAAATGCTACCATGTCTATTAATATAATGAAAAATTGTAAAGGAAAACTGCCAGAGTRATTTGGGAAAATGTCAGGTAAAGGGACAATACAGATATACAGTGACTGCAMTAACCAAAACACCCAAATCTTCTGAAGAACAGAAATCTCAGTCTGGTGAAGTACCAGAGAAGTGTATTATGCACTGCCACCTTCACAGCATCAGYGGAAACAGCAGTGGAACAGGGATATTTAAAAATTGTTTGGGGGGCAGTTCCTATAAAAAGGGTGAACTACCTACAGAGAAACTTGAACAAGAGTAACACTTTCTCTCTCCCTCACCTGGCTCTGAAAGTCTCTATATCCTGAGCTCCAGGAAGCATCCCAGATGATGCCAGAGCTGAACAGTGTTGTATGTCCAAATCTCAAACATGCTGGGGATCTAGGGCTTACTTCCTTGTAGTACTCAACTCAGGTGGCTGTTTGAGAGCATCAGCATGCACTTGTAAAAATCTACATCACTGATATTTCACATTGTTCAAAAGAGCTGTACAAAGCATGAGATGGATGTTCTTTGATTTTTTTTTGCGATTTTGTTGTTTCTTGGGGGAATAAAGTTTTTAACTCACTAAAGAGAAAGCAATAATTAGGGGCATTGGTGGTCAAAGCATTCATCCAGGAACAAGAATCCATGATTTCAAATCTGTGTCTGTCCAAAAAAGGCGATCCCATCTTTACAGTTATAATTTTTGGGGTTTGTGAACTCACTAAACATGGACGTATCTCTCATCCACAGCATGCACACCTATTTGTTTTAACCAGGACATGGCATTATGTTCACTGTCCTCAGTGCGGCTGTCACCAGCAATGGCACCAACAGCTGCCAACAGCACTGCTGTCCTCATGGCAATGAGCAGGGACCTCATGGTGTCACTGCTGTCACATGCACCATGGCAGGGTGTCACCATCAGCACCATCATTGCAGTGTCCTGATGAGTGTGTGCTTGTGGTGACACTCCTGGTTCTGGTCCCASTCCCRGTCACCACCTTGGTGCTGATCATGGTCCAATTCTGACACAGGCACTGGSCCCCACCTCACTCTGGAGCCCTGACAGTCACTGCTTCCCGTGAAAGTGGAGCTGAGCCTGAAAGCATGAGAGGCAGGGTAGCAGTCTGGCACCACAGCAGCTGCCAGGGGCAGCCCCAGGCACCCAAATTGGCCATTCAGAGTCCCACCCTTTGTGTSCCCCTGGTGCCACCAAAGTGCACCCAGCCTCACCTTTCCCATCAGCAGTAACTCTGCTTGGGAATGGCCACACCCAGTGTGCCTTATAGATATGAGGGGCCTCTACACCTTCCCCCAAAAGTCCCAAAGCCCTATAGATCACTGCAGTCTCAGTGCCCTATAGATATCAGGGGCCTCTACACCTTCCCCAAAGCCCCAAATCCCCAAAGATCACTGCAGCCTCAGTGCCCTATAGATATGAGGGGCCTCTACATCTTCCCCCAAAAGCCCCAAAGCCCTATAGATCACTGCAGCCTCAGTGCCTTATCAATATGAGGGGCTCTACACCTTCCCCAAAAGCCCCAAATCCCCAAAGATCACTGCAGCCTCAGTGCCCTATAGTTATCACAGCTCCCTCCCCAGCCCCTGTGGGTTCCTATATGCCTCCCCTAGCTCCCCCATTTGGAGATGAGGGTGCCATGTGGGACCATGCCAAAGSATTTACAGTAGTCCAGGCAGGTGAGTCCTCCCTGTCACAGAARGCCACCAGATTGGTGACACAGCACCTGCCCTCAGTGAAGCTGTGCTGACTGGCTTGGGTCACCTCCTCACTGCCATGAGATCCATTCCATCTGCATCTTGGTTCTCCTGATCCCACCCCTGCTGCCCTGCTTGCTTCTTCTAGGAAAATTAATAAACAAACACCAGAGGTTTATGTCCAAAAAGGAGAGAGAGGAGTCCTGTGACTTTATTTGAATAAAGGGAGAGGCCATGGAGCATTTCCATGGGGTCTCTCCAATTGTTAGAGGATGCAGCCTTCTTTTTATCCTAACTTCCCGCCACATTTCCCTCTCTCTTTCCCCATTGCTGAGGTACTTGAGAGGTACAGACTTACCGAATCGCCTTATACAGAACCCCATCTAACGTGCACCTCCCCCTCTGTTTTATTCTTTGTGTCTCTGTTCTTTTTATCGCAGTCCAAGGATTTAGCACTGTCTTGGGTGAGTAACAGTCTGTGTCAATTGATGGAAATCATCTGGAATTTACAGTTCCTCCCACTGCTCCTTTCACCTGTCAGTACCTGGCCTTATCTACCAGCAGACCCCGTAATTTGTTCGCAAAGACATTGATCATTCCTTTCACAGGGAAACTGAGAGGTTTTGCTCTGAAGCAGCCTCAGCCAGCTGTCCGCTCCGGCCAGCTCCCGGATCTCTGAGGGCAGTTTCCCGGAGGATCTCACCCATTCGTTCTTTAACCAGCTCCACACCCTCAGCAATCCCCGCTCCGCCATGCTGAGGAACAGCAGCACTTCCGGTTCCGGTCACGTGCACGGCCCGCCATGTGACCGCGGCGCTGGCCGGAGGTGGGAGCGCTGATGTGAGATCGGGCATCACCGAGGGGCCGCGGGGCTGGGGGAGTCCCGGGGGGAACGGGGCGAGAGTCTGAGCACAGTGCGGGCAGCGGGGGAGGCAATTCCGAAGGTATAAGCCCGGAGCGCCCCGCTCGTGGTCCTGCCTTCCTGACCCCACCCGTGTCCCCCTCCAGGCCATGGCCGCCCCCCGCCCCCCGCGGGTGGTGCCGGGCGAAGCCTCCGAGAGCGACTCGGAGCCGGAGCTGCTCGTGAGGGCCGCAGGGGAGACCCCCGGCGCCGGGCTAAAGGTGCCGGGCGAAGCCTCCGAGACCGAAGAGGAGGAGGAGGACGAGCAGACGCCGAAGTCGCCCCCGGTACTGGCGGAGGAGCCGGCGGCGGTTTGGGGGAGCGGCCCCTCGCTGCTGCAGCARAGGCTGCGGGAGGGGACGGGGCGGCTGCGGGGGGCGGTGGGCAGCGCCCTTCGGCAGAGCTATGGCAGTGCCGCCCGGAGCCTGGGGGGTTTGGGGGGCGCCCTGGGCCGGGCACAGGTGACCGCTGCCGCAGCCGCACACTGCCTGCGTGTGGCCCGCCGTGATCTGCACGCCGTGGCCGACACCATCGACATCGTCACRGCGTGTCACCTCCTGCCCGACATCCGCGGGCAGCTCTGACTGGCACCAGGATGTGGCACCGTGTTCACCATCCCACTGTGGCTGTCACCAGTGGCGGCACCAACACTTGCCAGACATTTGTGGGCAGCTGACAGCATCGCTACTGCCCTCTCAGCATCACCAGTACCGCCTCTGCCATGGCAGGGTCATCACCATCAGGATCATCACCACAGCATCCTGACAAGGGTGAAGTTGTGGTGGCATTGGGTCATGTTTGCAGCACCCCACAATCACCCTGAAGACCTCCTCACCACAATGGCATCATCACCAGTGTGGCCAGAATGACACCAAGCAGTGGCTTGAAACTGCCAGCCTGGCACCCCAGGACCTCCATGCTCTGGTGACATCATTGCTGCTGGTCCCCTGGCCAGCTGCCACCATCCCTGAACTGCAGCCTGGCACTGGCTCGAGTCACCATTGTCCCCAAATGCCGCTGTTTTATGTGACATGAAGCTAAATAAAACCCTGGTGGTGTCAGAGCCATAGTGGGGAGCTTGGCCAGTGCCATGATGACAGTAGTGTCGCAGGARTGGGGACAGGGACACCCTAGGATGCAGGAACAGGGTAGGGTGACATGGGTGTTGGTGTTACATTTGCAGTGGCCTCTGATGGCTATGTCTGACATGTTCCCAAGCACTGGTACTGTCACCCTCTTGTGATGTCCCTGGTGCCCCAGCACTGTCCCTCCTGGGGGACACACCCCTCCCACCTCCATCCCAAGAAGGAGACACACTGGGGCCATACAAAGGTTTATTTGGGGGGGGGGTGTCACTTGCCCGTCACCACCACTGTCACCCTGAGGACACAGGGAGGGTGTGTGACCCTGGAGGGGGTCACATGCAGGTGTCCAGGCTGTCCATGTACTCCTGCAGAGCCTGCAGCCGGGCATCGATCTCAGCAAGTTCAGCCGAGGGCTCCTTAGAGTGGTTCTCTGGGGATGCCAGTGCAGGAAAAAAGCATTAAAAGCCTGAACTGGGTATCCCTCAAATATCTAGGGGCTCAGATGGGGCCTCACCTTTACCAGGGCGCTTGCCAGTCCTGCATACAGGCAGCTTGTGGCTGGCAGCTGGTTGAGGAAGCTGGGGGGGGAAGGTTGGGATCACCAGTGACCTCCTGGTCACCCTGCTCTGGGATGCAGGGGGAGACCCCAAAGTGGTGGGGGAACCCCAAAGGAGCAGSCACTCACCATACAGGGGCCATTGCAGGATGAGGTGCTCAAGGGTCTCCGTGTACGGGTCACTTTCCTGTCCCTGCCCAAAGTGGAGGGGTTAAAGGGTGCTAGAAGGGATGCCCAAGCATCCTGTCCCACCCCAGCATTACCTGCAGGCCATGGGCTTGGAGCCCTCACTGGCTTTGCTGCCAGAGCTCCCTGCCAAGCGCCAGCTCCGGAAGCTTTCAGCTGCAGGGASAAAGGGAGATGGGAAGTTAAGGAAGGAATTCCAGCGCCCAGTGGATGTGCCCCCAGCCCTCTCCAGGCTCCCCACTCACCCGATGAGCTGCGCCTGTGGCTTCTTGCTGGGCTGGTGCTGTCAGAAGCCACTCCACGYCGCTGCCTGCACCACAGGGAGATGGTGGTAAAGGGGAACAAGGGCATGAGGGGGGAGGAAGAGACCCCCATGAGTCCCAGGGAGGGATGGTGACAAGCTCAGTCACCACCGCTTACTTTCTGAGCTCAGCTTCCTTCTGCCGTTGCTGCCGGGCCCTGACAAAGGCAGTGGGGTCAAAGCGTGGTGGGCGGGAGCCTGGTGGGGGGGTAAAGGAGACGGTCAGGGGGAGGAGAGGGTAAGCCATGTCCTGTCCCTACTCCTGGGCATGTGCCCCCAAGGATCCACACCTGCAGGTGACAGKGACCGTGGCGACGGGCGGCCACGGCTGCTCCTGTGGCTCTCCAGKGATGCTGAGCGTTGCTCTTGGGGGYGGGGGRCCATGCTGGCAGATTTCTGACGGCTGCCAWGAGTAAAAGTGCCATAAGGGGAGGAACAGGGGGACACCCCATGGTCATGAGGGTCCTCCTGTGGAGTTCAGCCCAGCCTTACCCCCTCCTGCAGGAGGCCAGTTCAGCTGTCAGGTTCTTCACCCGCAGCTGCAGCCTCTGCTCTGATGCCTTTGCCTGAGCCAGCTGCAACGGCGGAAAAAAGGTTCATTGTGCATCCAGCAGCCCCTGTCCCTACCCACAACAGCTCCCACCCCTCCTGATCACCCACCAGCCCACCTCTGCAGCCAGCTGCTGGTGCTCACGCTGATGCCGGGCCTCTGCCACCCGCTTCTCCTCCAGTGCCTGCCACAGCCTGGGGGGGATGGCAGSAGGTGGTCGGAGGGTTTCTTCCTCACCCAGTGAGACAGGAACCCCCAACCCTTCTGGGTGTCACCGGCCCCACTCACGCATCCTTCAAGTGCTGGGTCTTCTCCAGGTGSCGGGCCCGGAGCCGCGCCAGCTGCTCCTGCAGATCCCGCACTAGTGCCACAAGGTCTGGCCGCCCCACGAAGAGCAGTGGCAGTGGGTAATGRATCCTGGAGGAGAGCACATGGAGGGGGTGAGGCTGGAGTCACTCCCCTGTGACCCCTGCCTGGTGTCCCCTGTCACCTATCAAACTCCACAGAGTAGACGAGGATGAGGTAGCGCTTTGTGTTGAGGACRGAAGAGGTGGAAGGGGGTGGCCGGATGACTGTCCCCACTTTCCAGCTATGCAGGGTCTCCAGGTCGGTGTAGGTAAGGAGTTCCAGGCTGACAGACTCACTACTCTGCAGAAAGTTTGAAAAGTGGTGGGGGTCAGTAGGACACACACCCCACTCCATGCTCCCCCAAAACACTGTGAGGAGAAGCAGCACAACCACACCTGTGTCAGTGCCGACTCCAGCATGCTGCAGAAAATRCCAAACTGCTTGAAATTCCCCGTTTTGCGGGTCAGATCCTCGATGACTGTGAGAAGGGGGAGTATTTCGGTCAGTGGCAGTCATGGTAGATCCCCTTAGCACCCCTGAGCTTCCACCAAYACTCACAGGTGGCATCGAACTCGCCCCTCCACAGGTCGGAGGTGCCGTGAGCCTCCACTTCCACCCGCAACGTAGAGCGAGCCAGGGTCACCCGCACCGTGTGCGGCCCGGGCCGGAACACACAGTCCGTCTGCAGGTACCGCGGCTCCCCCATGGCCAACAGGGGCTGTGGAGAGACGGCACCCTTGGGAGACAGCGGCACCCCAGAGAATAGAGAGCACCCCGGAAAATGGAGAGAGCACCCTCGGGAAAGGGGATCCCGGCTGGAGGGCTCAGGACAGGTGAGCTGGGCTGGATTGTGGGGTGATGAGTGCAGAGCGGGTGCAGAACTGAAAGTTTAAGAAGGGGAGCCCACAACACCACGAGAAGTGACCAGAGAGGACCTTAGAGCGTTTGGTGAATTGGGCTCTGCTGGAAAGGGACGCAGTTTGAAGGGGTGGAGAGAATACAACAGAGGGAGAGCCATGGCCTTGGGCCTGCWGCCTGGGGAACAACGGAGAGCCCAGGGCCTCGGGGCCCTGTTCTGGGGGCACCGAGGGAAGGGAACTGGGGGGTCTGTTGTAGGAGCAGCGAGACGGGAGGTGGCCCGACCCCGCGGTTATGCTCAGGCAACAGATACCGGCAGCAGCCCTGCCACAGTCGAAGAGCCTCACCGCCCGCCGCGATCCTGCTCCCCTCAGCCTCAGCCGCAGCCTCAGCCTCGCCCCGCCTCGCCCGTTCGGCCGCAGCGCGTTCCGCCGCTCATTGGCTGCGGGCGCCGCCC